CCAGGAGTGTGCGACTGTGGTCATCCAGAACAGACCGTACCACGTATAATGACGTAAAGCCCCGATCCACAAATACGAAGGAGACATCACAGCGATGATGATGATGCTGCTGCTGCACGACTCCGCTTGCCCCTGACGCGGTTGTCTGTGGCTTGACCACCTTGAATGTGAAGTCGTAGTCGTTACTCTGCATCTACATCAGCCGTACGAAAGTAGACGACCTGGTTACGCAAAATCAAATCGCAAGATAGCAGGGCCGTTGTGAAGGTAACTAGATGACTCGGCAGGTGAATGTCAGCCCGGACTAAAACACAACGGCAACACTAAGAGAACACTTCAGACCTGCGCTGTGCCCGTACGCAGCGCTCAGACCACGAGGAGCCGTTCCCACTGCCGAGAAGCCCAAATGGGATGGGGCTTGGCGCGGACCCACATTTTACCCCACCGCGGCGATTCCACGAATTGTCGCCCTATCAGGTTCGCGAGTCCGGAATGTTTGACACCGAGATGGGTGTATCTGCCTCGAGTGGCCGGCAGGGCTCACGTGATCTCATTGCATCGAACATTTACGAATAGAAAAACGTCGATCCTCACTGCACAGCTTGTATTATAATCGACATCAATGAATCAAAGCATGTTCACAGCTACGGTGTGCACGGGGCGACGCTGGCAAAGGGTGGAGGGATTCGTCGCCAAGTCACGATTGTCTCATCATCCGCCGTGATCTACCCACTGCTGGAATGGTGGCCTCCACAAGAATCTGGAGCCGTGAGGTCAGCTGGTGACGCGCATAACTTGGACGGATTCGAGTCCGCTGCACCAGTTGCTGGGGGAAACGCGAATCTGACCATCGTGTTCCGTGTTGCATGGAGACATTCACAGTGCACCACGGTGGCGAGGAGACGTGAACTTCCTTGGTATACAACAGGTCGTGGGTTCGATCCCGACCCTGACGCCTGCACATTTGGAGTTTGCGTGTCTTTCTCACCCCGTGGTCGCGTAAAATGTTCTCTGGGCCCTCCGGGTTTAGAAACACGCGTTTAGATTATTTGGCTGCTGTACATTTCCACATGCGAGGCCACTTGCTTGGGCTATCATTTGTGGCCAGATCGTTTCTAAAGAAAAAAGCTACAAAGCTCAGTGGGTCTCACACCTGGTAAAATAACATTTAAATAAAAGCATGCACACCAGATAAAAAAAAAACAGCCTCCGTTTTTGTTGATTTATTACAAACGTTTGGTACACCATGCAAATATAATTTAAAAACTGCAAAAAACGTATCAAGCTTGCTGTCCATAACTTACGCAAAATGCGCAGTGCTGCATTTCGAGTGACAAACACGGTGACGCGGCCGAAACGGGGGGGGGGGATCGTGAGGATCGCGGTGCCAGGCCCAACGGGAGGGGCGCTTCGACCAAGTCACCGACGACAACTTAATCGTGGCCAGACAGCGCGCGCGCTGGAGCACACAGTCACACACAGTCACACACAGTCACACAGGACCACACATTCACACACAGTCACACACAGTCACACAAAGTCACACACACAGTCACGCAGGACCACACATTCACACACAGTCACACACAGTCACACACACAGTCACACACAGAGTCACACACAGTCACACAGTCACACACACAGTCACACAGGATCACACAGTTACACAGTCACACACACAGTCACACAGGACCACACAGTCACAGTCAGTCACACAGGACCACAGTCACACACACAGTCACACAGGATCACACAGTCACAGTCACACACACACAGTCACACAGTCACACACAGTCACACAGGACCACACAGTCACACACACAGTCACACACAGTCACACAGGACCACACAGTCACACACAGTCACACAGGACCACACAGTCACACACACAGTCACACAGGACCACACAGTCACACAGGACCACACAGTCACAGTCACACACACACAGTCACACACAGTCACACAGGACCACACAGTCACACACAGTCACACAGGACCACACAGTTACACAGTCACACACAGGACCACAGTCACCCACAGTCACACACACAGTCACACAGGACCACACAGTCACACACACAGTCACATAGGACCACACACAGTCACACACAGTCACACAGGACCACACACAGTCACACAGGACCACACAGGACCACACAGTCACACAGGACCACACAGTCACACACAGTCACACACAGTCACACACAATCACACAGGATCACACACAGTCACACAGTCGCACAGGACCACACAGTCACACACAGTCACACAGGACCACACAGTCACACACAGTCACACAGGACCACAGTCACACACACAGTCACACAGGACCACACAGTCACACAGTCACACAGGACCACAGTCACACACAGTCACACACACAGTCACACAGGACCACACAGTCACAGTCACACAGTCACACAGGACCTAAACAGTCACACAATCACACACAGTCACACAGTCACATACAGTCACACAGGACCACACAGTCACACACAGGACCACAGTCACACACAGTCACACACAGTTACGCAGCCACACAGGAGCACACAAAGTCACACAGTCACACACAGTCACACACAGCCACACAGTCACAAAGCCACACAGCCACACAGTCACACAGCAACACAGCCACACACAGTCACACAGCAACACAGCCACACAGTCACACACAGTCACACAGGAGCACACAGTTGCACAGTCGCACACAGTCACACACAGTCACACAGCAGCACACAGTCACACACGGTCACACAAGGTCACAAAGTCACACACAATCACACACAGTCACACACAGCCACACAGTCACAAAGTCGCACAGTCGCACACAGTCACACACAGTCACACACAGTCGCACAGCCACACAGACTTGCAGAGGCATCCGCACGTGCGGCGTTCGCCCGTGAGCACCCAATGAGCCCATCACGGAGTCGCGTCAACCTACGCATGACTTGACTCGTTCGTCGGTGTGCAACTTCAGCAAACACGGCGCTGGCTCCGCTTCTGCAGTGGCGGGGTAAAAACCCAAAAACAAAACTACATGCCGCCTCCCGAGTCACGTTGGGCTGGCTCAGCGCAGCCCAGAGCGCGGCTCGCCTGTTGTTATTGTTGCGCAGTGGAACAAAGAGGTAATTTTGCTACGAGTGCATGCCATCATCACCAGCGATCGAAACGGAACCGGGGTACACTTGCAGTACGCCACGCCGGCACTTCTCACGAAAGCCGGACTCGCGCGCACGCGTGTGCGTGTGTATGTGTGCGTGTGTGCGTGTGTGTGCATGTGTGTGTGTGCGTGCATGTGTGTGTGTGTGCAGGGGCGCTTAGCAGAACGGCTCCCCCGTCCCCGACGCTGCGATGTTCCACGCAGAGGGGAAAGGGAAATGAAAGCGCGCCGCAGGGCGATTCGGTTTCATCACCCGGCGGCGGGGATTCTACATTTCCATTTCGACCACTGGTCATCACTGCGAACAAGTTCAAGCACTGGGTCCATTGATTGTCAGCATTAATCGCAGCAAAAGCATCATATGCATTGCATGGCCAAACAGTGCAAATATCTAAGTAACATTCAGTGCCTATGGTATTTTTTTACTTATCAATCTTTGGAATAACGTAATAAAAACAGTCTTGCTTGGGCGCCTGGAATAAATGAATGCGAGAGATTATATATTTGAATTGAACAGGCAAAACAAAAACACACACACACACACGGTTAATTTGTTGTTGTAAAGTTCAAAAAGAAAATGGACAACCACGATTAAGTTCAAACGAAGCCACCAGACGCAAGGTGAGCGGGCGGCCATAGCCATGCCGCGCTGCGCACAGAGGCGCACCTTTGACAAACCCGGCGACGAAACCAACGAACCGCGCGTTCCGTTAGTTTTTTTTGGGCCATTTGTGTGGCGCGAAAAAAACGAAATAAAATCGAGAAGCGAAGCTTTTCCCCGTAACGAAATCGACGGAACAAACCCCGCGCACCGGATCGGCTTCGACGGCACCGGCACAACGCCAATGTGCCGGTGCGCAAGTGCCGGGGAGCGTGCTCGCCCACCGCTATCGTCCAGGATAGTAAAACTGCTCTCCTCCCTCCTCCTGCCTCCACCTTCTCTTCCCTCCTCGCAAAGGCGCAACTGCTGCCTACCAAAAAGAAAAACGTATCTTACACAGCGCGGAGAAATCCCTACGCAGTGCTGACGGATCCGCCTCACGGTAAAAAAAAAAAGTCCGCTTATTCAACAGCCGTTAAAAAAAACGCTATTTATATCGATATGGGAGAAGAAAAAACGCAAAGGAGACTCACTGCAGTGCACAAGGCAGTACAGAAACTAGATTTCTTATCTACCTCGATTCGGGAGTTTGAGTGTTTCCCACTCAAGTTTTTTTCCATGAGATTTTGTTCATGGGAACTCCGTTTCCTTCCCACGGATAAAATCTCTCGAGGACATGGCTAAGCATCCCAAGAGAGGCCTTCATAGGTAAATAGTCACGTCTATTATACATCCTCAAGATGGCTGTTAACAGGCGACACGCAAACTCGGAAACCCGCACGCCAACACTCAGCGAGTCCATTTTTCTTTTGACACGACCCGGGTCGCCTGGAGCAGGCGGCTCGTGAGAGCTAATCGCAGCCACAGCGAGAAATATACTGGATGCGGTGTGCCGCATGCGGAAATATTTTCCGAGCCACTAAACCAGGGCAGGCCTGGTTGAGATGAGGCCTTGCGTAGGCAACGCCGTTTCAGACTGGGCGCAGCGAAAAACACAACCAACGACTCTTTGGCACAATAGAGGTTTTTTTGGGTGAGATCGCGTAAACAAATAAATGTGTCATTAAACCCGCCACCACCCGACACAGCCAATAAGGTTTGTCACGTAAACAGAACATGCCAATTCGTCACTGGTACAGCACACCGGTGTGTTGGTGTGCTGTACTAGTAATGGCATGTTCTGTTAGCGTGACAAACCTTGCGAATTGGCTGTCAGGTGGTGGCGGGTTTAACGACACATTTACATTTTTACGCGATCTAACCCAAAATAACCTGTATTATGGATGATATTGGTCGCGAAAGCCTACGTGTTAAACTAACTGCGTGGCACTGGACGTTTCAAAAGTCAGCCCTTTCTCCCTCGCTCGCTCATTCACTCATCCAGAATGCGGCTCACTCACTAGCCCACTCGTCCGCTCACAGGTTACTCGCTCGCTCAGCCACTCATTTACCTATTCATCACGAATCCCTCTTACTCACTTCCCACTCACTTGTTTGCCCGCTAACTGACTAATCCACTCACTCATCCTCTGACCCACTGGCTCACACCCTCTCATCCACGCCCTCAACCCATCCACCGGCTCGCTCGCTCCTCTCGCTTGCGAGACCGCTCACGGCGGACAGATGGGTGACTGGCTCGGAAAGGGCTGCGCATCGCCGGGGCCGTCGGGCACGCCGCCTCCGCCGCCTCCGCCGGCGCCGCCGTAGCCCATGACGGCGGTGAAGTCCTGTGCGAGGCGCTCGTGCGTGCGCCGGTGCCGCGCCAGGCTACAGGTGCGCGAAAAGCGCTTTCCGCACTCGTGGCACTCGAACGGCTTCTCGCCCGTGTGCCGCCGCTTGTGCCGGATCAGCACGTGCGAGTGCGTGAAGCGCATGCCGCACTGGTCGCACCAGAACCGTCGCGCCATCGCGTCCTCCGCCGAGCCCTCGGCCGCCATGGCCCCGAGCTGCGCCAGCTGCATGGCGGACACGTAGCTGCCGGGCGAGTAGCGCCCGTGCTCCTCCGCGTACGGCCTCTGGCCGCCGCCCCCGCCGGCGAGGCCGTAGGCCGGGTCACGCAGGCCGTACGCCGCCGTGTCCCCGCCCCCGGCCGCGGCCGCCTTGACGCCGGGCTCCGTCTCGGCCGCGACTTCCTCGCCGGGGGAACCGGCGAGACGCTGCGCCTCTCTCTTGTAGGGCTCGGGGGTCTCCCGGTGGGAGTACGCGGCTGGGTCGAGGCCGTTCCCGACGGCCCCCTGCGCCGCGGCCTCCTGGGCCTCACCCCAGGGGGCCTCGCCGTTCTTGTCGAGCGGCCGGTACTCGGCGGACGGCTGCTCGTAGGCGTCGTGCGCCGCCGGGGCTTTCCGATAGACGCTGCCGGCGGTGGCGCCGGCGATGGGAGGAGCGTGCTGCTGCTCGCCGGATTCGGGGAACCTCGCGCCGTGGTCGACTGCCGGGACACAGGGAGGAAGACTGAGCGCAGGCGGGCGCTTTGCGCCACGACGACGGGGGGTCGGTGCAGCTATGGGTTTGTGGGTAATTTATAAATGGTTTTAGTTACCGCGCTTGGCACGCGGTTGAATTACAGACCATGCAGCACAGATATAAAAACATTCACTTCTGCAGTACGAGTTGTCACAGGGCAACGTGGTGGGCAGTGGAGCGCAGAGCAAAACAACCCGACGTCGTACTGTACTGCCATACTACCACATTTAACCACCACACCTTCACCAACCCGCGCTGACGATGAAGCATGGTCAAATAACCCCCCACAGCCTGTACAGACATGAAGAGGAGGCCCTCAACCAGCAGTGGAGTGATAACAAAGGGGCCGTGCGCAGCTCTCCGATGCGTTTTCGGGTTGGAGCACGCGCGTCGCTGTTCTGCACGACGCTCCTCTCCCGAAGAAGGCCTCAAAGGCACGCGGAGCGAAACAACGCAAGGGACATCACGGACGAGAACAACACGCCGAACGACCCGAACGCACGCCGCGGAGAGGCGCGTGAATCACGGGCGGCCACGACGCTCGCAGGGCCTCGCCCGGGGGTTCCCCGTCGCTGCGCTGACCTCTCGTCTCTTTTCCCGATTTGTAAAGTAACACCCCGATTTACGCCGTCTCTCCTGCCGTGGGTACCTTCGCTGTGACGTCCTCAACTCGTTGATGCCCAGTCCCATACTGCGTACCGTGGTACCACGCCACCACGTACTCGAGATTTTACGAACTTTACCATTAAGAGACAACGTTGGTTTACTGAGCATCAACTGTTTAGGTTCTGTAACCACGTTACGATCCACCATCCCATCTCTAGTAGTAGTAGTAGGCATAGGTTCTGTACCACGTTACGATCCACCATCCCATCTCTAGTAGTAGTAGTAGTAGGCGTAGGTTCTGTACCACGTTACGATCCACCATCCCATCTCTAGTAGTAGTCGTAGGTTCTGTACCACGTTACCATCCATCATTCCATCTGTCGTAGTACTAGTGATACTATTACCAGTCGTAGTAGGTCCTGTACCATGCTACTATCCGCCATCCCAACTTTCTGCTGCGATTTTAGTACTTTACAATAACGTTCTGGTTTCAGGAGAGCATCCTGGGCCTACACACCGGGGTACACATCTGCGCATTCACATTTTTCAGACGAACACAAAAGAGAAATCCGGCCCCACATCCCCCCCCAGCGGCGGATCTGTGCAGCGACGGAGGAGGAGACGCGCGGGGAGACGTGCGGGGAGACGCGCGGGGAGACGTGCGGGGAGACGTGCGGGGAGACTCTCACCTGCGGCCTTGGCCCGGCGCTTGTTGGGGCTGGGCCCCTTCCACACGCGGCTCAGGTCGACCGACTCGTCTTCGCAGAAGGCGGCGGCCCTCCCCGCAGGGGACGCGCGGTGCCGCTCCCCCAACGCCGCCGCCGCCGCGTGCCGCGCCGAGCGGCTCGCCGGGTCTGCGAGGGGGACGAACGCAAAGTTCCACGCTTGGCACGGGCACCGTCGCGTTCTATTAGCAGCGGGTGAATTGTGAATCGGTGATTTTTGCCGTGACGTCTGTCGCTCATCGGCCCCATCGGCTTAAGAGAAGTGCTGGCGGATGACCCGCCGAACTGGCAAATGATTTGGTGATAACAAGAAAAGCAAAGCTTCACACTTTCCGGCATGAACACAGGTAAAGTCACGTTGAAGAGAAACAACAAAATAACAAAATATATATAAAACAATAAAAAATTCTCACGACGTTTCGACCATAACTCAAACGGTCATCATCAGGTGTGTCGGTTTGCATAAATTTATTTTGAAAACGGCATATTTATTTATATATATAAAAATAACGTTTGCGTCACGCGCAACGATGGCAGTTTGCCAGGACTAGTCCATCTATTTTTTGAAAAGAGGAGGGGGGAGACGAAATTTGTTTTTATGTAAGCTGTCTGAAAGGCACTGTAAGCGTGAACAATCAATCAAGAACTGAAATGATTTATCAAATCTTTCCAATGATTGCTAAGATAGAATCCATCTTCTCGGTTGAAATTGTCTCTGTGTTTGTATATGTGGATAGCCTCATGAACGAATCTCTCATGGAAGCCAGATGGCTTACAAAGAACCTCCGTCTTGGAAAAGTCAATGGCATGTGAGCCTACTGAATTAGAACAATGATCTGCTACGGCCGAGGTGTTGGTCCTACCGTGTTTAAGGTCTGCTTTATGTTCACGAATGCGGTCCGAGATATGGCGTTTGGTTTCTCCAATGTAACTACTACCACAGAGGCAACTTAGTTTGTAGACACCAGGGTATTGTATGTCCGGAATCACATCTTTTACAGACGGAACCAGATCACGGATTTTATGTAATGTGTTGAAACGGACCTGGATCTTGTGTTTATTCAAGATTTTGGAGATCTTTTTTTACCTGACACCATTGCAATCATTGAAGACTTGGTTCATCAAGGACTAACACTGAGGTACCCCCCCTGGTGAGACACTGTTTAACCAATACATACTTCACTTGGAATGGAACTTTCTACAAACAAACTGAGGGCACCCCAATGGGCTCCCCCCTTTCTCCAGTTATAGCTAACATTTTCATGGAGAAATTTGAGACTGACGCCATCCAGACTGCCACTCTGCGCCCAACCTTATGGAAGAGGTACGTGGATGACACTTTTGTCATCTGGCCACATGGCCGGCCTGCTCTAGACAAATTCTTCGACCACATCAATTCCATACACCCAGCCATCAGATTTACCATGGAAGTCGAAATAGATGGCAAGATACCTTTTTTGGATGTCCTAATTAAAAAGAGACCTGATGGTTCAATGAGCCACTCTGTCTACAGGAAAGCTACCCATACGGATGCTTATCTGAAACCGGATTCCCACCACCATCCATCACAGAAGAATTCTCTCATCAAGACTCTGTATCATAGAGCCCAATGCATATCTGACCAGGAACACATAAGCAGTGAACTCAAGCACGTACACCAAGCTCTTAGGGCTAATGGTTACTCCGACTATACAATCCGCAAAGCTATCACTCAAACCATGAAGAAGAACCCTCTTGAGGAGCCTTTCAAAACCATCACTTTACCCTACATTGCTGGGATCACAAAAAAGATCTCCAAAATCTTGAATAAACACAAGATCCAGGTCCGTTTCAACACATTACATAAAATCCGTGATCTGGTTCCGTCTGTAAAAGATGTGATTCCGGACATACAATACCCTGGTGTCTACAAACTAAGTTGCCTCTGTGGTAGTAGTTACATTGGAGAAACCAAACGCCATATCTCGGACCGCATTCGTGAACATAAAGCAGACCTTAAACACGGTAGGACCAACACCTCGGCCGTAGCAGATCATTGTTCTAATTCAGTAGGCTCACATGCCATTGACTTTTCCAAGACGGAGGTTCTTTGTAAGCCATCTGGCTTCCATGAGAGATTCGTTCATGAGGCTATCCACATATACAAACACAGAGACAATTTCAACCGAGAAGATGGATTCTATCTTAGCAATCATTGGAAAGATTTGATAAATCATTTCAGTTCTTGATTGATTGTTCACGCTTACAGTGCCTTTCAGACAGCTTACATAAAAACAAATTTCGTCTCCCCCCTCCTCTTTTCAAAAAATAGATGGACTAGTCCTGGCAAACTGCCATCGTTGCGCGTGACGCAAACGTTATTTTTATATATATAAATAATATGCCGTTTTCAAAATAAATTTATGCAAACCGACACACCTGATGATGACCGTTTGAGTTATGGTCGAAACGTCGTGAGAATTTTTTATTGTTTTATATATATTTTGTTATTTTGTTGTTTCTCTTCAACGTGACTTTACCGAAAAAACTAAGAATATGAATTACTGCAGTCACGAAAGCTTTAAATCAAAAAATGAACACAGGTGTTGAGATGTTCACACGCCAAATATACACCTGTGACACCTCTTACAAATGAACCACACATACTTGTGCTAAAAAGAATGCAAACCATATATGATTTTATACTGTACTCACTGTCCTTGAAACTGTTAGGCCTGCACCAGACACTGCCTTTATATGGCTTTGCCTCACCAGTGCTATAGACCACCAAAAGGTGAATGTTATAAGGACAATGCAAACACCACAGTATTAACGTTTCATCATTGGACCTCCTTTGCCAGTACCAAAATATAATAATAGGGTTTTCCCCCGTTTTTTTCCCCCTATTATTATATTTTGGTACTGGCAAAGGAGGTCCAATGATGTAGATGCTTAACCCGAGCCCTCATTACTTTGATAGTGCATTGTCTTTGAGCTGTACGCCTTTTGGCGTCATCTGGTCTAGCACCAATTGAGACCAGGCTCTAAAGAAAGCCGTCTCTGGTGTGGACCAATCCGTTTCAAGGACAATGCCACATATATTATCAGTGTGTGTTTTTTGTTTGCATTTTGACTGCTAGTATTGTGGTTAATGCAGTAACATGAATCCTTGTAAAAAATGTTTCAGTTTTGTTGCAAGAAAAAAGGGGAAAAACCCTATTATAATAGTATTAACGTTGATAACTGCTTCACCCAATCTATTAAAGCTTTGGTGTTTGAACATCTAAACATCGGTATTTATGCCAGAAAGGGTAAAACGCCTTTTTTAACATTCGATATCTTGATAGTGGAAAAAGGGTCCCACAGATAAGCCAAATAGTTATCACGCGAACCATGCATGCTGAACTGTCGCACCGTACGTAGCCAGCCGTGCTAATCGGAGGGGTGGGGGAAGGACAACAAACTAAACACAAAAAGCAGTTTGAAAGAAATGTGAGTATACAATCTAGATTTAACAGTGCATAGCTGCAGTGGCTTCCTAATAGCACAGCTGATAGTTAATAATAATTCTGCAAACATCACAGTTGTCTATTATATAAATAATGTGCCGTTGATGTTGTAAACCATTCCAGTGAATTATAGTGGTTTTACGGTTACGGTATACGATACCATTCTTCCGAAGAGATCGGACCCAGTCCCAGAGATTGGACCAGACGCGTGCACGACGAACACAACAACTGCTTACTCGACACAACGCAACGCGCTCAGGGTCAAGGGTTACGGCCGGCGCGTGGGGGGCCCTGCTGGGCTCGCTCGATTCGGCGTAGGGTGGCCGTGGCCCGGCCGGCTAGCGTGCGGCGGCACGACCCCACCAGGGCCCTTTAGCTTCTCGCTCGTGGCCTTTTAGAGTTCGGCTCTCTCGGGACCCCCCACCCCCCACCCCGTCTCTCGCTCTGCCCCCTACCTTCGGGGGGATGTTCCGTCTTGACGTGCACGTGGTCCCACGGCCGTGCGGGCCGCCGCTTCTCCCGCCGCTCCGCCGCCGCCGCCGGCTCCAACGCCGCCACCTCCAGAAGTGTCACGTCCGGAGCGGCCTTGTACCCCCCGGGGGGGCCCTCGTCCGCTTCTGCAACCGGCACGGCGCGCGTGGGTGGGGGGAGTGGGGGTCAACAAAGCGTTGCCTAATGGAAATAACAGCGTACTGTGAATATCAAGATGACATCGCCATTGTTGCGCACACTCTGCAGACAAGGTCGTGACGGCTACCAGCTGCAAAGCTAAACTAAATCGCTGTATAAACCATTTTTATTTACCAGGTAAGGACCACTGATGAAAGACAAAGCTCTTTTTCAGAAGCGACCTGACCACAAATGGTAGCTCAAGCAAGTGGCTTATCACGTTGGAGATTCAGAGCAGCCGAAGATCTCTAAACGCATCGTTTCTAAACATTAGCGTTGGGGGGGGGGGGGGGGGATTTGGTCCCGGGCGTGACATTAAACCGCACTGAGCGATGGTGTCGCCAGCAAACCACCGCCGTTGAGGAAGGCACGGAGGGCAACCCCAACTCCCATCGTCGCTCCCCTCCTCCGGTGACAGCTCAAGAGCTCTCGGACACAAGAGGGGGGGGGGGCGTTGAGATGAGATGGCCCTCGGAGGTAGCTTGAGCTACGGTCCTGCCCTCGGGCGGGGAACTCGTTGGGGAAGAGGAGGGCGCCTTTGTGTCACGAACGCGTGAAGACAACCCGTTGGACTTAAAGGCGGCCGTGGCGTTTGCCGAGGCGCGTTTGCCGGGAGCGTAGAGGCTCTCCGTCTGGTTTCTAACCGGCATGGCCGTTGGGGACGGCGGCGTGTGGTGAGATGTATACGTGGTGATTGTTTTTTAATGCGCTGCTTGCTCTGGAACAATAAAAAAGGGGTCAAACAATTACAGTGCTATGGAAAACTCAAAATCCACAAGGATGGGAAGATTCATTCGAATTGAAAAACACTTTTAGACTTCCGCGATGTTGATTGCATTTAATTTCGTGGACCTTAGGGGGCGCCAATGTCCTGTCCAGACACTGCCCGGATTCGCCCGCACTCAGTCGCAGCGTCTTCACATTCACGCTGCACCCTCACGCTGCACGCTAACGCTGCACTCGCATACTGCACAATGCACTCTGCATTGCACACGCACGCTGCACATGCACGCTGCCCAGTGCAAAATCACTCAGCGTTGCACGCTAATGCTGCACGCATACACTACAAATGCACGTTGCACACGCACGCTGCACAGGCAGGCTGCACACTCACGCACGCTGCACTCTCACGCTGCACCCTGCACACTCACGCTGCACATTCACGCTGCACACGCACACTGTGCACTCACTCTGTACACTCAGCGGTGCACACTCACGCCGCACTCATGTATACCCAGCATTGCATATTCACGCTGCACTCACGCTGCACATTCAGCGTTGCGCACTCATGCTGCACACGCACGCTGCACTGGCACCCTGCACACTCACGCTGCATATGGATCATTACACACGCATGCTGCACCCGCAAGCTGCACCCTCACGCTGCACATGCACGCTGCCACTCAGCCGTCCATTAGCGGCGGCAAGCCAGCCGGGCCCGTCTCCCCGTGCGACAGGATTTATCGATCTCCCGCAAAAGCCGAGGGGAGAGACGCTGGGCTGAGCTGACCCCTGACCACAATTTGACCTCTGCCACATTGCGACTTTGAGGCAGGCACACGGCTACCGCACCAGTGTCCAGTCAGCAGACGGAAAGCTTGTTAAACAAATCTGGCTCCGACATGAGAAACGTCATTCTGAAAACAAAAATGTTGGTAAGACTCCCACGGGGTACGGCGCAGACTCCAAATATTAGTCACTCGCTCTCTCTGGACTGTCTCTCTCTACAATGCAGAGGGACTACTGCCCAAAATGTCACCTGTTATATATGTATTGTTTTTTTTTATCCTTTTAGGGCCACCGTGTTATTGACAGAAGTGTTGTTGACTCCTTGGTTTGGGCACTGGCACACGCCGGACACGGTCCGGTAGAGTTTGTGCCTCAGACGTAACAATAAACAACACAACGAGCGGAGGAGGAGCAATGTCCGCCCTGCGCAGGGGAAGGCCGGTCGTGTCGCCGGCGCGATGCTGGCGGCTCGCCGCCTGGGGGTGGGGGTCTCCGAACAACTCCTCGGCCTCGACGCTGGGAGCCTGGCGGCGGACGTGGCCAGGCCACAAACCCGGCCCCGCTGCGACGGCTTCAGGGGCGGTTTGTGGTTCGCTAAAATGGTGCGGTGCAGCCAAATGGAAAAATGTTTCGTGGTCACCCACCGCATTTTCTGCCATTTCGAGCGCTCCACCTGAACCCCCCACCACCCCCCCCCCCCCGACTGCCATTAGCTGAAACCCGCGGCCCCCATTTGGAGGTTGCAGTCCGTTTGCAACCTCGGCTCGATCGCGGACGGCTGCGTTATTTGCGACTTTTATTTTATTGAAACAAATACGTAACGACGTAAGTTTGTGGATGCCGGGAGTTAGGTGACACGCGCGTTTTAACATTTGCAACACTTTTAAATTTGCAACACTCAATTTGCAAATAGTGCCGGCTTACTCTTCCAACACACACGGTCACATGGCAGAGAGAAAGTCCAACCATCCACGGCACACCTCCAAAGATGTACGTTACACGTGCCCGAATTGCTTCATAATAACGGTAGATTCCCGTGACATAGCCAACTGCCATACACCATCGGGCACGGTAATTCTGGAAAATCGCCTGACGAAACCTCACGGTACTCGAATGGTAAATGTTGTAGTGGGTTTACTCTCCAATACACCGGGTGGTGCTGAACCAGGAACGAATTTCCACGTTTTGTTTACGTGACAAACCTTACACGTTGGCTGTGTCAGATGGTGGTGGGCTAACGACACATTTATACTCATGCAATCTAACCCAAAATAGCCTTGATTGTGATTGTGCAACACTTCACACGAACGCGCAAGGTGTCAAAGTTGCCAGATTGGTCGGTTCTGTCGCCCGAATCCGGCGCTCTCTGCGCCCAGAATTCCCTGCACTCAGATGCACCCTTCCCCACAACGCACAACACTTTACCGATGAGATCAAAATCCGAGCGGAAGAGCGCGATGACGATACCGCAGAGATTTCATCCGACCTCGTCACGCCTCACGAGGTTCGCTGGGCCGAGCTTTAACAACGCTTGGGTGGGCGACTATCCTTTGCGTAGCACGGGTGACGCAAAGCGGTTGTGGTGCTACGTTTTGGGCAGTGCGGCAAAAATCCATTGATGTACTCTGATTCTAAGCCCCGAGGTCTATGCTCCCTGCCTTCACCAACCGACCCTGACGAGCGAGGTGAAGTACGGGTAAGGGGAGGCCCTCATCCAGCAGTGGATTGACACACGGGCTGCCCGTGTCCATACAACGGTGGCACTTCAACCAATTTTAACCTCGCGTGACCGAGCGGCGGCAGGTGGCGGCACCGCGTCGTGCGACGGGCATTATATAACACCGTTTCGGGAGAAAATTAACCGAGGTTCAATTCCGGGGAAGCGCGGTGAACACTGCGTCGCTCGGCCACTCGCTCCCGCACCTGAGCAGGCGGACTCCCGCGCGCCGCCGTCTCCATCGCCGTGCGCCGTCTCTCCTCCGTCATCCAGCAGCGGATAGAGCGCGGGCTCCAGGCAGCTGAACCTCTCGGCCGACTGGAGCAGCTCGTGACTCAGGCTGTTGAGCGTGAGGACGATGGCGTCCAGGAGGCCGCCGAGAAACGGCTGGAAGGCCGCGATGGCGGCGGCGACCTGCAGGCCCCCCCCGCCGGCGCCCCCCACCCCCGCCCCGTCGTGGCGCTTGGGGGACGAGGCCTCGGTGACGCGGCGCAGCACGGCGTAGAAGGCGAAGGGCAGCCGCTCCCTGGCGGCGGCGAACATCTCGGCCCTGACGTGGGGCTGCTCGGCGCACGCCAGGAAGGCCTCGTAGTCGCCGATGCCCAGCTCCCTGTCCACGGCCTCGGCCACGCTGAGGCTCACGCCGTGGGCGGCCAGCCACGCGGGGAAATCCTGCCGCGGGTCCACGCCGGGCAAGGCCACCGGCGCCGCCGCCGTCACTGCCGCGGCGGCCATGGCTGTGACGTCTGTTCAGATGTTGTCTCCGCACGCACCTGGGAAGGGGAGAAAAAGGGGCAAAACAAACAGAGACGTGAGCGCTTCCCTCTTCTCCGCGGCGAGGCGGGAGGTCGACACCGTGGACCCCGTTATCAGCGAGGCTTTCTGCGAATTCGCTCCGCTCGTCCGCAAGTGGATTATTGAAATGGGGCGGGGGAAAATAGCGGCGCGCGCGCGTGTGTGCGCGCGTGCGTGTGGACCCTGTAGCTGTCGCGGAAAACAGGAGTCGCACACGGGATGATACAGTGAGGGAAAAAAGTATTTGAGCCCCTGCTGATTTTGTACGTTTGCCCAATGACAAAGAAATTATCAGTCTATAATTTTAATGGTAGGTTTATTTGAACAATGAGAGACAGAATAACAACAAAAAATCCAGAAAAACGCATGTAAAAAATGTTATAAATTGATTTGCATTTTAATGAGGGAAATAAGTATTTGACCCCTCTGCAAAACATGACTTAGTACTTGGTGGCAAAACCCTTGTTGGCAATCACAGAGGTCAGACGTTTCTTGTAGTTGGCCACCAGGTTTGCACACATCTCAGGAGGGATTTTGTCCCACTCCTCTCTGCAGATCTTCTCCAAAGTCATTAAGGTTTCGAGGCTGACGTTTGGCAACTCGAACCTTCAGCTCCCTCCACAGATTTTCTATGGGATTAAGGTCTGGAGACTGGCTAGGCCACTCCAGGACCTTAATGTGCTTCTTCTTGAGCCACTCCTTTGTTGCCTTGGCCGTGTGTCTTGGGTCATTGTCATGCTGGAATACCCATCCACGACCCATTTTCAATGCCCTGGCTGAGGGAAGGAGGTTCTCACCCAAGATTTGACGGTACATGGCCCCGCCCATCGTCCCTTTGATGCGGTGAAGTTGTCCTGTCCCCTTAGCAGAAAAAACACCCCCAAAGCATAATGTTTCCACCTCCATGTTTGACGGTGGAGATGGTGTTCTTGGGGTCATAGGCAACATTCCTCCTCCTCCAAACACGGCGAGTTGAGTTGATGCCAAAGAGCTCCATTTTGGTCTCATCTGACCACAACACTTTCACCCAGTTGTCCTCTGAATCATTCAGATGTTAATTGGCAAACTTCAGACGGGCATTTATATGTGCTTTCTTGAGCAGGGGGACCTTGCGGGCGCTGCAGGATTTCAGTCCTTCACGGCGTAATGTGTTACCAATTGTTTTCATGGTGACTATGGTCCCAGCTGCCTTGAGATCCTTGACAAGATCATCCCGTGTAGTTCTGGGCTGATTCCTCACTGTTCTCATGATCATTGCAACTCCACGAGGTGAGATCTTGCATGGAGCCCCAGGCCGAGGGAGATTGACAGTTCTTTTGTGTTTCTTCCATTTGCGAATAATCGCACCAACTGTTGTCACCTTCTCACCAAGCTGCTTGGCAATGGTCTTGTAGCCCATTCCAGCCTTGTGTAGGTCTACAATCTTGTCCCTGACATCCTTTGAGAGCTCTTTGGTCTTGGCCATGGTGGAGAGTTTGGAATCTGATTGATTGCTTCTATGGACAGGTGCCTTTTATACAGGTAACAAGCTGAGATTAGGAGCACTCCCTTTAAGAGTGTGCTCCTAATCTCAGCTCGTTACCTGTATAAAAGACACCTAGGAGCCAGAAATCTTTGTGATTGAGAGGGGGTCAAATACTTATTTCCCTCATTAAAATGCAAATCAATTTATAACATTTTCGACATGCGTTTTTCTGGATTTTGTGGTTGTTATTCTGTCTCTCACTGTTCAAATAAACCTACCATTAAAATTATAGACTGATCATTTCTTTGTCAGTGGGCAAACGTACAAAATCAGCAGGGGATCAAATACTTTTTTTCCCTCACTGTAAGTGCAAGGATAAGGGGAGTTCTCCTGCAGGGCGCGACGCTCTTCGCCCGTAGGGGGGAACGACGCGAATGCTACGCCGGTGCTACCGGAGCGAGCGGAACGCCGCCGGTTTTCAACCAGATTTACCGCACAACCCAATGTCGAAGCAAAAGCCGCAGCAAATTTTTGTTCCACAAAATAGTATGGAGAGTGAACACTTAGTGGCGCAGAACACAGCAACAGGGTTTAGAGCTAACATCAATTCTCTCTTTGCACTGAGAAAACTTTCCAGTGGGCAATACAGTGGGTATCCAATGGGTCTTTATTGGTATGCTATTGAGTTTGTGATGAGTATGAAAAGGGTATGCAATGGATATGTGACGGTATGTAATGGTTACGTGATAAATATGCAACGAGTTTGTAATGCTTATACAATGAGTATATCTCGTAAAGCAGCATAAACCATCGAACAAAGACGGTCACTGCATCGCGCGCTTTCAGATGCCGCTCTGGGCCGTCTGGAATGCTCTTCCTTCCGATACCGGGAAGCCACTGGGAGTTATGCACTTTAAAACATCATCTAGATTGGCAAACTGATTTCTTTAGAGCTGCTTTTTGTGTTTAGTTTGTCCTCTCCCTCGCATTTCCGCGAAAGTAGTTCAACGTACATATGTATAACGAGTAAGCAATGTTATATTATGGGTATGTGATGAGTATATAATGGGTACATAATGGGTTTGTAATGAAATGTAATAAGTATATAATGGGCATGTAATGGCAAATTGGATTTGTCGCTGGGCGATTGTGAATTTAACACATTTGGACTGTGCCCCATTCCACAGATAAACCGCATATCTTACGAACAAAAATATATATTTATGACCATTGTATTATTCGGACTGTTCATCTGTTTAGTATTAATGTACTGTGTATTGTTGTGTTGCTGTTATTCAATATTCGTACTTAATTACTGGTTATTGATGTATGTACGTATGTCGAATGTCTTTCGCATACTAAATGCCTCTGTTGATGTGTAAACTTTGACTTTAACATAGCTATTTCCGTGACCAGTCACATGCTAATCCGTCACATTAACATCATGCTAATCACCCAGTTACATGCTAATTTCTGACTTTAACACCCTGCTGATCCAACACTTTAACACAGCTATTTAAATGCTAAATTCTCCTGTTTGATATGTAAACTCCTTTGTCAAGGTGCTTTACCTCTCCCACCTAGCCTAAAAGACGCTGCGAATCTTAGCCGCGTTCATTGAAGTGCTCAGCTGATTGGAGAGTTTATAGAGTTTATTGATAACATTGATGTAGTTTATATTTTAGTTTTTTATTAGTTTACTATATGGTATTCATTATATAGTGTAGTGTATACCCAGTTACTTTATGTTTATAGCTCAACTTATTGAAGAATATATTGAGTACATTTATTATATTGATGTAGTTTATACTTAGTTTTTTCACATCGGTTTATTGTATGATAGTTGGGTAGTTGCAGTCCTTTAGCGTCCATATACTAAATGCCTCTGTTGATATGTAAACTTTGACTTTAACATAGCTATTTCTGTGACCAACACTTTATCACAGCTATTTCAATGCTAAATTCTCCTGTTTGATATGTAAACTGCTTTGTCAAGGCACTTTACTTCTCCCACCTAGCTTAAAAGACGCTGCGAATCTTAGCAGCGTTCATTGAAGCGCTGTCGTCCCGACAGTTCTGTTCCTTCACCTGAAGAAGGCTACTTGTGTTGTGGCCGAAACGTCGTGAGAATTTTATTTTATTATGTTTTATTTTTATTATTTTATTTCCATTCTACGTGACTTTACCAAAAGAACCAAGAAGATGAATCCCTGCAGTCACGAAAGCTTTAAATCGAAATTTAACGGCACCTTATTTATATAATAGACAACTGCGATATTAACAGTTATTATTATTATTAACGATCAGCTGTGCTATTAGGAAGCCACTGGAGTTATGCACTGTGTTAAATCTAGATTGAAAACTCATTTCATTCAAAATGCTTTGTGCGTTTAGTTTGTTATCCTTCCCCCGCACCTCCGATTAGCACGGTTGGCTATGTATGATGCGAAAGAAGTTCAGCATACATACACAAACAAAACCACACGTCCTCTTGAGTCACACACTTTGGTCACAAAGTGTTCTATATCGCTCTGCATCTTTGGCCAGTAAAGTCTGTCTCGGGTGAGGCGTAGTGTCTGCTCTTCCTCCAGGTGTCCCGTTTCTTGGTGAAGTTCTTAGAGCAGCGGTGAGTGGCACGGCCTCGGGCAGGGCTAGCTGGTCTCGACACGCGGCCTTCCGATACAATATCCCCCCCTTCGTCACGCAGGTGCAGTTTCTCCCATTGCCTCAGCAGTCCTATTATATTAATCATGCAAGTTCAACCCCAATGAAGTTTGGAGAGGATGAATAGAGTTCAAAAGAACTCACAAACAAACACCTTGTAAAAGACCCAACGCAGAAAGTACCCAAATTTGTTTCTTCCAAGAGGCTCATGATCCACCCAAAACCACATCCACTGGACAAACCATGGCAGCAGATGCGGATACCCGATGTACAAATGGAAAATTCTAAACTCTCCAGTGTGCGACTGTGGTCATCCAGAACAGACCGTACAACGTATAACGGCGCAATGCCCCAATCTACAAAGACATCACAGTGATGATACGCTCCGCTTGCTCCTGACACGGTTATCTGGCTTGACCACCTGGAAGTGCATCTACATCTGCCGTACGACTCAAGCAGATCATGGCGTTCTCCACTTTGGAGAGTTCTGAATGGCCGTTGGTCCCTTGCCTTCTACTGTTGGACTTTCCCTATTATTGGGTCGTCCTCTTAAGCTCCCTCAATATGTTCTGGGGTCAGGGAGCGGCCTCGTGTTTTGGGAAGTTCCTTCTCCACCAGCTCCAACTCCTTCAGGTACATATAGGTCCTCTGAGCTGGTGCCCCATAGTTCAGTGTAATGTGCATGTTCGGAGATGCCGATGCGCCCGACATCAATGGCATCCCAGCTCTCTCTTGATCTCCAGCATGTCCCTGAGGGGCAGTCCTGGGCTCATAGCCTCGATTATTTCTTCCACAATTCTTGACTCCGAGTAGCCCTTCTGGAGTCCAGCTTCCATATGGTGGACCAAG